AAGAATTTAAGAAAAATCCTTAATCTTTGAAAATGTTCTTTTACCCTTTTTTCTTTTTTTTTCAATGATTGACCTAAAATAAATACCACATATTCAAATATAATGCACACAATCAAAGAATATATATAAAATAATAAAATAAAATAAAATGACTCAAGAATTCAAAACAAACAAGTAAGAGAAATAACCATACAACGTATAATGTCCTAATTTTTGGTAATTTTTTAAAAAGGTGGCATGGCTCTATCCTAGGTAAGCTTTCTATGACTCACGATATGTTGGGTTAGGATTTGTATTCTAAAGGTTCTCAGACTATTCCTCACATCATCACCTATTATAGACTAGTAAGGTTCCCGGATCCTCATCCATTATGAGTTATTAACGAAAAAGGTTCAATCTGAGTGGAAGTATTTTGCTAGCAAATACGAAAATTATCACCTCACGAGAGCGTAGCTACTTCACTTTCTCTTAAAACGGATGGAGCCCGAGTATGAAGCTCATGCATGCGAGTGAATATGCAAAGTGTGTGCAAAGTAATGTATTAATCAAAATAACATGAATAAATCATAACCAAAAATAAAATCAAAATGAAGTAATAACTAACACATAATTTATTTTATTTATTAACATGAATGTTTTCAAAAAATAAAATAAAAAATTAAATTAAATATCAAATAAAATCAATTAAATCTAACCATTGTCAATAGCGCATAATTAAAATTTTGGCTGACTTTCAAACAAGTTTCCAGTGAAGTCGTCAAGCTGTCATAACGATTTTGGGACCATCAGATGTAAATGAGTTTTAAAATCAAAATAAATGAGGAAGTCGCCACCAATCTTTGTTAGGGTGTGATTGGCCACCTAAAAGTTTATCTTTTTAATAAAACTATAAAAAATAGATTTAAAGTTTATCAAAAAGATAAATTTTGGTATACGAAAAATCAGGTTAGGTTCGGGAGTCAATTACGTGCGAGAAAGGATTAGCATCCCCACAACGCCCATAAATTGGTACCATTTAATTATGCGCTATTTTCGGTGTTGGATAAAAATGGTTTTGACTTGAAATTTAATACTAATTCCCTTCGTTTTTTAAAAATATTTTTGCTAAAATTTTTATTTAGAAATATTGAAAAAAAATTTAAGTTAAAGAATTATCTTAAAATTCACCAACATCTAGGCATAATTTAAAATAACTCTTTTCGCTTAAGATTTAACACAACAATCCTTAAAATGAAATAACACTCCTTATAAAAAATTATTGGTGACTCTCCAACATCTACACAGAGTACCAAGAATTATTTCTTTCATAATGTTATTTTTATTTTATTTTGTAATATAATAATTTTTTTAAAGTATTATTCTTTTTTATTATAAAATATTTTTATCACCAAGTAGTAAATAAAAATTAAAGACAGAATAGTACAAATAAATACTGATAATAACATGCTAACGTATGTATGCCAATGAATGTTATGTAGGATGAGATGCAATTTAAAAGTTAGATTTTTAAGTATAATGAGGCCACATCGACTCTTCAATATCTAGGCAGAGCTTATGTGCAACTGTTTATATTTAAGATCTCAATTTACTGTTATATTTTTTATTTATTAATCTTATTATTAATGCGAATTACGAAATCATATGAAAAGACTTAACAAAGTAAAATTTTCAAAATATCTCATCATCTAGGCGGCATTTGACAACAAATTGTTTCAAATAAAATTTTCACACGTGTCCTTAGGATTTTTAAGATATTTTGAGTAAGGACTTGAGTAGAGGTTTTAAAGATTAAGGTTTTAGGATTTTGAAGATTCAGATTTTAAGGGTTTGGATTTAAGTTTTGAGGGTTTTAGGGCTTGGTTTTAAGGTATGGAAGGTTTAGTGTTTTAATTTTAGAGTTTGAAGACTTTAAGGTTTCGGTTTTAAAATTTTGAATTTTAAAATTTTGGATTTTAGGGGGTTTTGGCTTTTAGGATTTTAGATTTTAGGGGATTTTGAATTTTAGGAGTTTTAGAAACCTAGGATTTTGAAAATTAAAAATTAGTGTTTAAGGTTTCGTTTTTAAGAAAATACGAATATCTTTAAAAATCTCCAACATCTAGGCGAATTTTCGAAGCAAGTTCAATTTCAATGATTTTTGAAAATTAATTAAAAATTTCTTATATATATTATTTTTTTTTTTCATGAAAATTTATTAATAATAATTTTTCAACATCTAGGCGAAATTATTTCTTTAGAAAAATTATTTTTATTCCCTTTAACATCTAGGCAAGAAAACTAATAATAATAATTATTATTATTAGTTTTTAGCATTTTTAATATATATTTTTAATTATTACTTGTTTTCAATTTTATTATTATTAAAACAATTAAACATTTATATAACAAATTTAAGAACTTATCATGCATAAATATAAAAAATATACTTAAAATAACAAAAATAATAATATATAAAAAAATTTAGAAAATAAAATTTAAAAAAGAAAAAAAAATTTTACCTGAATCAGACAAGTCAACAGTCAAGTTAAAGCTGGTCTTAACCAGTTTGGCGGTTTAATCTGCGATTTAGGTGGAAGTCTACAGTTCAATCCAATTCAGATCGATTCAATTGGACCAATCAGCAGCTGTTAGAAGAACAAGTCAAAGGGTCGGGTTGCCAGGATCCCGGGTTGGATCCGGGTCAATGCGCTGATCCTCCTTGACCGAAACAACGTCGTTTTGGACTGTAACCTTCTATATAAAACCAAAAAAAAAAAAATTTTGGTCATATTTCTCCTATTTCAAAAAAAAGAAGGTAAAGAGAGCTCTAGGGCACTCGCAGTCTAGTTGTAGGACCACTGTGCCGACAGCAGCTTGGGTCACCGTCGACGATCGCTGCCAGTGGTTTTCAATCGTCGAAAAATACAAAAATTATTTTGACAACTCTCTTCAATGCCCTTTTTCCAGATCTGGCTTTTTTTTCGCTAGAAACGACCTCGATCGTCGTAGATCGGGACTTGAAGTTTTCTGCCTTTTCTCTTTTTCTTTTTCTTTTTTTTAGACTAAAACTGATATATTTTCTTTGTTTTTACAGAGAGCTCGACGCTGAGGTTCCTCCCTACAGAGAGGACTATTATTTTTTTATTTTTATTTTTATTTTTATGTTTCTGTTTTCGTGGTTGGTATGGGTTGAAGGTTTTTTTTTTGTGTGTTTGGGTGTCTGAGAAGGTGTTGTGAGCAGTATGACTGGAGGTTTCGAATATCTGTCCAAAGGTTTTCGAGAAGGGATGTCTGAGAGAGCTTTCGAAAGAAGGGGTCCGAGAGAGCCAAGGGAAAGAAGTTTGGGGTTTTTAAGGAGTTCAAAAAAAGGAACAGGTGATGGCTATAAGATAGCTGTAGGCTGGTGAGCGTGGGCAGCTAGTGGTGGCTGCAGGGTGGCTGGTGCCAAGCATCAGCCGCCCTACTTTCTACCGTTTTTTATTTATCTTTTTTTGTTTTTTTTTTTTTTATAAAATTAATAATTATTTTTTAAAATATATATTTTATTATTATTATCATTATTATTATTATTATTATTATTAGATCTGGACAAAATCTGTGTCTACACCTAATACCGCAAATAATTTTTTTTCTATACAAATTAAATTGATTAGAAAATTTATTGAGTAAAAAAAACGTTCTAAAATGCCTGGAGAATATGAGAAAATGTTTTAAAATACATCTTGAGAAATTATATTAATTATTTTCTCAAAGACTAAACTAATTATTATTGAAAGAAAAGTGTAAAGTTTGGTCAAATAATTTGGAAAAAAAATTTATGTATTTTTTTCTTAAAAAATAATTTAAAATCTCTTTTTTTTTTTTCAATTAATACGAAATACCCATTGACAGTAAGATAGTATTTATATTTATTTGTTTAAAAATAAATTTTATTTTATTTAAATTTAAACTCAAATCAGATTTAAAACAGTTAAATATTATCAAAATAAAAAGTCAAAACTTGAAATATTTTGTTAATTGTGAGTGACATAGCGTTAACTTTGTTAATACCACAGTTAAAAAAATTTTAACCTTTTCTATGATTTTTTATATATAAATAATTTTTAATTTAAAAAGCAAAGTAAAACTTCATTCATATTGATATCTAGTTTTAAAACCTGTTGAGTTGAGCTTCCCCTTTCGATTAATCAGAGACCGGTTTAGTGCTGATAACGACCCAACATAGACCATCCCCGGTTCAACTATCCAAGAGCCCCCACCCATATCGTGTCCACGTCAGCATTCTCTCAAACTATTGGCTCCTTGCACTTTCCCCTATCATAATCCACCACGTGTACCATGTTTCCACATCATGCATTTTGGTTCTTACTGACTAAGAAAAAACAAAAAAAGAGAAAGACCTATTGCCTCATATGTCACCCCTATTTTTTTTTCTTTCTAAATTGTATCATTGATAAAACCCTCGGCAACTTGATTCAAAAGTTAATTTTTATTAATTTTGATAATTTTAAATTATAATAAATTAATACGATATAAAAATAATATAATATAATTAAAATGTGAATAAAAGTTATGTCAATTTAACAAATTAAAAAATTTATTTTATTTTTAATATGTTTATATAAATTACAAAATAATAATTTTTATATTTTATATATTTAATATAAAAAAATAAATATGATATAAATATACAACATATCAAATTTTTTACTGTAGGATATTTATATCAAAATTCTCATGATCGAGCCCACAGTACTTCTCAAATTTGTCCATAAATATGAGCCCCTTTAGCCGTATTTCTGCCCTTTTCTACTCCTTCCTGCCTTTCCTTATATGTTTAGAAGCTTTTGGTTTCCCTTTCTTTTTTATTATTATTATTATTCTTAGTAAAGCCATGTTGTCGAATGTTCCGACTATTTTTTTCTCCGATTCGATGCTTGACAAAGATCTATTTCCGGCTTTCGAAAGCGGCTTCACGTCGTAGGATTGCTCGGATTTTTTTTCCAATTCCCCGTCTATAGGGCCCGTAATATCGGCGTCCGGTTCAGATGAACTAAACCAAAATCAAACCAACTCGAACTCATCCGGTTTGGTTGAACCAAACCCACCTGTTCCCATCATCGACGAGCGAAAGAGGAGACGCATGATGCCGAACCGGGAATCAGCCAGGAGGTCACGGATGCGTAAACAGAAGCATTTAGAAAACTTAAGGAACGAGGTGAACCGGTTTAGTATTGAGAACCGAGAACTGACCAACAGGTTGAGGTTCGTTTGGTACCACTGTCACCGTGTAAGGAAAGATAACAGTCTTAATCAATAAATAATTTTAATCTAATCAATATATAATAATAATAATAATAAATAAATAAATAAAACCTTGAAATGGTTTTGCTTAGCAGTTCGGTTGGACTTGATTTGAGAAAAAAAAACGGTTCGGAGATGCGGCTAAACTCGACTCGATTTCGAAAACAGCTCGTACTCGGATCACACGCGGGTTAAACGCGGATAGACGTTCAAGTCGGGTTGTCCGATTTCAAAACGCACGGATCCTCTGAGAATAGTAACACTAAAATGACGTCGTTTTAAGCAGGTATAAAAGGCTATAATTTTTGTTTTTCAGTAGATCTCCCATTCTCTCTCTCTCTCTTCCCTTCCTTTCCTCATTTTCTCTCTACCCAAACGAAGAACTCTAGTTGAATCTCATCATATTCTGAAAAATATCACTGAAATCTAAGTTTTTTGTCAGAAATTCGTCGAAAAATTGATCGATTTCTAGATCGATTTTTGGAAATAGTTGTCGAAAACTTGGTAACTGGTCGAAAAACTCAAACGGTGTCGAAAAATTCACCAAAAAATTCAAACTTCGCAGAAAAATTCAATTGAAATCTAAAAATTTTTCAGAAATTTAAAAAAAAAATCGCCTAAAATTCTCTAAAATTTCTAAAAAATTTCTAAAATTGCTTATGACCTTTCTGAACACATTTTTTTCTTCTTTTATGCTCTACTTCTCTTTCAGTGTTTATTTTCTCTGTTAATGTGCCTTTTATGTGTTTGTTCCAGCATCTATTTATAAGGATTAATCAGAAGAGTTTTTGATCAATCACAATTCTTTTTTGGATTGAGATTTAATCTTTGAATTCAATCTGGACTCTAATTGAATCTTAAATTCACGGTAAAACTTTAGTTTTTATCCTAATTCTAATTTCAATCGAATAAGTAAAAAAAAGAAGGAAGAAAAGAGAAAATAAAATAAAATAAAATAAAGATAATATATTAATTAATAGATAAATAGTAATAATAATAGATAAATAATAATAAAGTATATATATATATTAACAAATAAATTATAATAAAATATATATATAAATAATAAATATAAAAATACAAAAAATATAAATATATTATAAAACAAAATAAAATAAAATAAAATAAATTTACTCATTTAAATCAAATTTAATTGATTTGAATTTGAATCAAATTAAATGTCTACAAAGACAAAAAAAAAAAAAAAGAGAAACTTAAAATGGAATATCTTAGATATGTGTGTAAAGTTTCTCGCTCATTGTATCTGGAATATGTGTACCTAAAATTTCCCACGTGATGGAAATGTTCAAGGGCTGTCTTCTTTCAACTGCCGCCATCAAGAATGACCCTAAGCAAAAGCAAAAGGTACCACTTTTTTATCAAAATATTAAAAAAGCTTTAAAAGTATTTATTTCTTAAAATAAATTATTATATTTTTATTATATTTAAATAAAATTTTCATTTATATTTATAATTTATTTATATATAAATTAAAATATAATAATTTAATTTGAATACAAATTAAAATATAATAATTTATTTTGATGTAAATTAAAGATCAAATATTTATTTGAATATAATAAAATTTCAAAAAAATTTTATTATTTTACTTTTTTTTTTCGTCTTGAATTACATTATTAATAATATTTAGACCCCCCCTTTCACCTTCCATGCCCTTTTTCAATCGGTTGGCAACCCTGTTCATATTTTTGGAATACATCTCAATTATAGAATCCCTTTCTTCTTTGTCTCTCAGTCACTGCTTTTTTCCACATCCAATGGAACGTAAGTAATCAAGCTTGCACCTTCGTGTAAGAAATCTAATAACGCAAAGAACTTTTTTTTCTATACAAATTAAATTGATTAGAAAATTTATTGAGTCAAAATAACGTTCTAAAATGCCTGGAGAATATGAGAAAATGTTTTAAAATATATCTTGAGAAATTATATTAATTATTTTCTCAAAGATTAAACTAATTATTATTGAAAGAAAAGTGTAAAGATTGGACGAATAATTTGGAAAAAAATTTTATGTTTTTTTTCTTAAAAAATAATTTAAAATCTCTTTTTTATCAATTAATACGAAATACCCATTGACAGTAAGATAGTATTTATATTTATTTGTTTAAAAATAAATTTTCTTTTATTTAAATTTAAACTCAAATAAGATTTAGAACAGTTAAATATTATCAAAATAAAAAGTCAAAATTTGAAATATTTTGTTAATTGTGAGTGACATAGCGTTAACTTTGTTAATACCACAGTTAAAAAAATTTTAACCTTTTCTATGATTTTTTATATATAAATAATTTTTAATTTAAAAAGCAAAGTAAAACTTCATTCATATTGATATCTAGTTTTAAAACCTGTTGAGTTGAGCTTTCCCTTTCGATTAATCAGAGACCGGTTTAGTGCTGATAACGACCCAATATAGGCCATCCCCGGTTCAATTATCCAAGAGCCCCCACCCATATCGTGCTCCACGTCAGCATTCTCTCAAACTATTGGCTCCTTGCACGTTCCCCTATCATAATCCACCACGTGTACCATGTTTCCACATCATGCATTTTGGTTCTTAGTGACTAAGAAAAAAAAAGGAAGAGAAAGACCTATTGCCTCATATGTCACCCCTATTTTTTTTTCTTTCTAAAATGTATCATTGATAAAACCCTCGCCAACTTGATTCAAAAGTTAATTTTTATTAATTTTGATAATTTTAAATTATAATAAATTAATACAATATAAAAATAATATAATATAATTAAAATATGAATAAAAGTTATGTAAATTTAACAAATTAAAAATTTTATTTTTAATATGTTTACGTAAATTATAAAATAACAATTTTTATATTTTATATATTTAATATCCAAAAAAATAAATATGATATAAATATACAGCATATCAAATTTTGTTACTGTAGGATATTTATATCAAAATTCTCTTGATCGAGCCCACAGTACTTCTCAATTTTGTCCATAAATATGAGCCCCTTTAGCTGCATTTCTTCCCTTTTCTCCTCCTTCCTGCCTTTCCTTATATGTTTAGAAGCTTTTGGTTTTCCTTTCTTTTTTTTAATTTTATTATTATTAGTAAAGCCATGTTGTCGACTGTTCCGACTACTTTTTTCTCCGATTCGATACTTGACAGCGATCTATTTCCGGCTTTCGAAAGCGGCTTCACGCCGTGGGATTGCTCGGATTTTTTTTCCAATTCCCCGTCTATAGGGCCCGTAATATCGGCGTCCGGTTCAGATGAACTAAACCAAAATCAAACCAACTCGAACTCATCCGGTTTGGTTGAACCAAACCAACCTGTTCCCATCATCGACGAACGAAAGAGGAGACGCATGATATCGAACCGGGAATCAGCCAGGAGGTCACGGATGCGTAAACAGAAGCATTTAGAAAACTTAAGGAACGAGGTGAACCAGTTTAGAATTGAGAACCGAGAACTGACCAACAGGTTGAGGTTCGTTTGGTACCACTGTCACCGTGTAAGGACAGACAACCGTCGGCTCCACTCTGAATATAGTATGCTCCGACAAAAACTATCAGACCTACGTCAAATTTTGTTATTCAAGCAACTGCAGCAGTTTTCATCTGCATGGCCATGCAATAACGTTGCTATCATGTCTGAACAAATCCCACCATTAATCACTTAAATATTTACATATTCTTAAACTTACAAGAATGGCATCATTAAAATCCTCTCATATGACAACAAATTTAGCCCTAGCTGATCTTATTTCTCTATCTCTCTCATCTCTTTCTGTAAATTATAAAGGTATCAGAGAAAGAAAAATGGTGCGTTTTTTTTTTCAGGTAAATTAATATTTTTGCAAACAGGGATGATGAAAAGGAAATGGTTTGTTTTGAGAAACCAGAAGCCTGTAGTGTAAGAAGGGTTAGTGATGTTTGGTTTTAATAAAGTTGTTTTTGTTGTTTCCTTCTTGTTTTTAGCATTGAGAAGCCGTCCAAGTTTTAAGCTCTCCCATTTTGCATTTTACTCTATACTATAATTTTAAATTTAATTAATTATTTATGATTCAATTGAATTAGGAGAGATATATATGCGAAAGCCCCTAAAATGCCCTTAATTCAATCATAATAATGATATTATAATCAAAGATCATTGAAGGATAATTCTGTCCTTCCAATAATTGTGACTGTTGATTAACTTGATAGGGCATACAAATGAAATGCGAGATACCGAAATCATCAGTAAAGCAGTGGCCTTATAAAGTTTAGGCTTTTGCGGTTTGACATAAGATTCCATCTAAAGTTTTCAAAAAGAAAAGCTTGGCCAATCAAGAATTGACAAAAAGTTCATTTAAATGGAGCATTTCTTCGTAATTAAATCACACAACAAAACAAAAAAGATTGTCCCAATGAACTCCACTCCATTACAGACAAAGAATATTTTCTTTTCGGTACATCAAAACAATAAAAACAGCTCTATACTTTAAATTAAACAGACACTGAAAGGAGTTTAAAATTTTTTTTATTACTAAATGATTTTAATTTTTTTATTTTTTATATTGAGAATTATGAAGTATCAATTTTATAAAAAAATAATTTTTTAATATAAAAAATTAAATTTAAATTTTTCTAAAAATTAAATGAAGGCAAAGAATATGAAACGAGAACAATAACAAATACGAAAAAAATATATTTAACAAAGAAATTGGTATAGTTACATGTAAAGCTCCTGGTCGTAGCATGGAAACCAACTGGAAGCACAGGAGTGAATGGACCGAGGTTGGATGCAGCCAGAGATCCTTTCAAAGCAAAAAGGTTGAGTGGGTTACAATCGTTGGGGTTAGGTACAGATTATTACACTGGAACCAAAGAAAAAGACAAGCATGCCCTACTTGAAAAAAAGCATGTAAGGTTGTCTCTTCCTTTCTTCACTAACAAGTTATTGAAGACCCACAACTTGATTTTCATGCCAAGTATATATATATATATATATATATATATATATATATTATTCCTTTGATGCTACCTTTAGAATTGTCACGCTCGTTGATAATTTAATTAGAAATATAAGCACGAATTCATGATTGATAGGCCTTTTTAATGTGGGGTTGGATTCCAATGAATTTTTAATATGGTGCAATTAAATTCACCGTATCAAATTCATTTAATATAAAATTTTTAATTATAATTATAATAATTTTTTTTAATTTATAATAATAATAATTATTATTTTTAATTTTATCAAAATTAATTTCATTATTTATTCAAATAGACCCTTAGTATAATTAGCAGTAGCTAGGACAGATTTTTATCACTTGAAAGTGGTATGAAACTAACGATTAGAGCAAAGTATTGGTATACCATTTATCAAAGTCCTGATCTAGGTATGGGTCCTCTTTCTTTCCAATGTATATAAGGTTCAAGTTTTTACTAGCAGTTTTACTAACATTTGGAGGCAATGTTATGGATCCAAGCTAGCAAAATTTTGAGTTAACAGCCCTTCAAAAACTTATATTTTTTATATTTAATTGCATAAAACAGTATACTCACTTTGATTTCTTTTCTTCAAACAGGATTCAATTGTTTAAATTTGAAACTTAATTCACTTATTCATATAATTATTTTTATAAAATGATATTTAAAAGATTTATTAAAGTTTAAATTTATGATCTCATTTTCTATTCCAGATTGATTTTTAAGTACTTCACTTTATCATAAAAGCTATGGCTGAAGTAGAGAAGTACAAAATTGCTTTCCCCATGAATTGATGGCGCAGAATTCTCAATCTGATTTCTGATATGAATGTTATTTCCTAAGTTGGGTTTTCTCACCGCGTGGCTCGAATTTTGTTGAAAATCTTCTGGAGTTGTTCGAACCTTTTTTTAAGCTGTAAAAATGTTGCTAAAGTCGACCATGGATGAACAGGAAATGCTTTCTAGGATAGAGAATTAAACATTTATCCATTAGTATTTGGAGCACCCAAAACATGATTTAATTCGTTGTACTTTCATCGGCGTGAGATCTTTGCACTATCTTCACTAACCAATGCCACTCAAAAAACCCTGCCCTGGTGGATTAGTTTGCTTGTGGTCATGATGACTTCTTGATCAACCATTAAATATTGAAAAAAAGAGTCTTTAACAAAGATCATCTTTCCGATCCCATAAAAGATCAACCATTAAAATATCTTTGCCAATTCCCCTGTTAATCCAGAAGTGTTGGTTGCGTTTGCCACAGATCAAACATGTTACTGGGTGGAAAAGAGTAAACTAATAATACAATAAACCTTATGAAGCAGTTGCCTGAAGAATTTATTCAGGCCGTTGCTTTTGTTATAACTTCAGAGATTTAGTTATTGGCTGGCCTGCTTGCAGTAAGCCATAAACCATTGTAGCTTTCGAAACTTGAAAGCGATTAGGCATTGAATGATGGCAATGGAGGATGAATAAGGCTTAGAATCACATGAGGATGCTGAAAAGACTTGCTCTGCTGAAAAATGAAAAGTCTTCAACTGTCAACAATCAGGATGAAGACAATCTCACTTTCTATTAGAACATTTGTAAGACCGAAATTCCATCCTTCAATAATGATGACACATAAATGTATTTTGGAAAAGAATGCTATCTTATAAATTTGTTTGTGCCATAACATTAATGGGGATCCATGTTCTTTTCCAAGCGGTTGCAATGCTTTTTGCTGATACTAAAATCTAGTTTAGGTGATCAAACATGATGCGCTTATTGTTTCCCCCACTTTTGGTTTATTCTTCATAAGCCGCAAGAAAAGGATCTTCCAGCCACCGCCTTAAGCCTTTCACGGAACTGCTCCTCTTTGGAGGCAGCTGTATCGAGCGTGGAGGTGGAGGAGGAAATTTCTTGTCATGAACCAGTCTTGGTCGACGAGCCACCAGCATCAGGAGTAAGTGTTTTGGTTAAGGGCATATGACCCTATATCAATAGGGCACTGATCTTTATGGTGACCTTGGACTTGGATACCCCTGGCTTGTCCTCCCAAGAAAAGGGTATATACCTTGTGAATTAACCTCTCTATGACTCATTTTTCTGTATTAAAATCAACTATTTTCAGTTGCTTATATATATATATATATTGAAATTTAAACTGAATATAAACAAAATAAAGTCAGGTCAGATGAAATTTCATCATCGTGTTGATAAACTTAATTTATCATGTTGATAAACTTGGACCCCGCTATCAATCAGGCCTGGGTGGAGCTTAAGACTTGAATATAACTATTGGGCCTAGGGCCCAGAATTCCCCGACCCTGAAGACAAACAAAAGCACCGTCTTTTACACAAAACCCTAAAAAAGGCTAAGAATTAGGGTTTTGGGAGATATAAAATGCAATAGCAATTCTTCCCCCCTTGGCACCTCTCCGTTTTCTTCTGTGTTCTCCTTATCTCTTTGGTTTTTTTTCCATTAGGAATTTAGTTCGTAGAATACTTGTTATGAATTAGGGCAATGGTGACAGATTAGCGTTTCTCTATTCCGATTTGATTTTTTTTTCTTAAATTCTTTTGATTTAATGCCCAAACAGCTCTCTGATGACGGCGTTTGTGCGTGTCCAAGTCTAACTTTTTCTCTTTTTAATGATTTATTTGGTTTTGTTTTGGAAAAATTAAGGGGGAAATATGGAGATAGCGATGATTATAAAAATAATTCCTCGTTCTGATTGCTCAAATTGGGCCTGACAGACCTCTTATCACACCCATAGAATCTGAGCTCCTCCACTCCCTTTTTTATTTCCTCTTTTTCAGTTTTTTATTTTATTTTGTACTACTATCAAATTTTCAGTTTATATTTGTTCTTTTAATTGATATTGAATTTTGAAGGCTGAAATTAACATCAAAATTAAGTGTTAATTTTGTTCGATAAGTGTTTTAGGCATCTTAACGTTGAACTGACCCTGGAATTTCCTGGCTGATAAACTCAGTCTTGCCCTGTCATTTGACTTGGAGAAATCTCGTTGGTAAGAAACTACAAGTGAGGTTGAGTTTCACACTTCAATGAATTTGTAGTTAGAGGAAAGTTTCAAGCGTTGCGTTTGTAGTTTGGACTTTGATGAGTATGAGTCTTAACTTGGGATTAACATTGTGTTGATTTAACTATTTGCCTAGCGACATATCCAAGACAGCCATGAAGGCCATCAAATTGAAGTACGAGCAAGCAGTACTCTGAAACATAGAAATTTCTTTTGGAAAGGCAAAAGAGAAAGAGCCAACATTTTGATTTTGGCAGTTTCCTTTCGTTGATTGGTTTGCATACAGATACAAGAAACCTTAGGTGAAGGTCAGTTATTGGAGACATTCTTGCTTGAACCGGAGAGAAAAAAAAATGGTCAAACATTTTTCTACTTTGCTTGCCCGTTTCCAGGATGATTAACTATGAACCCCTGTGTTTCTGCCATTTCCAGGGATCCTGTGTATACTCCAGCAGTTGCTTTCACTCCTGGTTGTCACTGCCCTGCAAAGCTAACAATATGCACTCCACACTACACAGGAATAGAGGGGTCCTCCTCCTTACTTTTTTCAGGCCTAGGATTTGGGACCATGGATTTAGCTGTTTAGCCACGATTTGATGTGAAATATGCGGCATGTATATCACATGGCAACCGACTCATCTCTGTACCAAGTACCAACAATCAAGCTCGGATCCAGCTATCTACTGCAGAAAACCAGCCAAGTTCAGTTACCTTTTTTTATCGGAGTAAAAAATCACTGTTAATCATATAATCTTGCAGGAAATTTTGCTTACGTTTAGGTTACAAAGCTGTTTCAATATTAAGATTTGTTTTGAAACAGGCAGCAGACAAAAGGATATTTGTTTTACAGAATCTCGAATGTTTGCTGAGAGACTGAAACTTGAAAAAGCAGAAAAGCAGTTTCATTCTGTACATTTTTCAGTTTTCGGTATTTCTCTTCAAAGTTCCACTCTCATTGGCGACTACAGTCTGCTGCCACAAAATCCGACATTCCAAAAAATATATCTCCATTGTGACTCATTCCTAAAAATTTATTGTTGCCGACCAGTGAATTTGGGATTAACAACCCACTTTACATTTTCCCTGTACGTTACAAAGGTTACTCTGGCCAGCAATAAAAGCAAAGACTATGGTAGGGTAGGGCATAACATACAATAGTACAAGTTTTTTTCTTACTATTGTTGGATTTTTGTTTCAATCATATTAAATTCTTTCGGATATTCTAGGGGTTCATCTTCAACCCCAATTATTGGACCCAACACCAAATGTTTATTTCAGAATCGGTCCCATGTTTTAATTTATCATGACTTAAGCTCAAGCCAGGGTCAGCAGCTGCCAATCTGAACCAATGGGCCAATTAGCTCAGTGGGGAGCAGTTGCTTGGTCTGCCGGATGGGCAGGCCACAAATGTGCCTCCTGCCTGGAGTCCAGGAAACTCCATCCTGATCCTCTGTGATCTCAATTATGTTAGCAATCTGCCAACTGGAAAGGATGGGAGTAGGTCTGCCACATAATGGCCCAACAGAGTAATTGATCAATATGTTTTTTGGAAGTTATCCATATATTATGATGATGGAAGTTTCAGCACTATCATTGAGCAGCCTTGACCACATTTTCCCTGTTAATAGGGTCCAGCTAGCCTGCACACAACCTTAACCTAGCCCGCATTGTTGTTGTTCTTCAGACCTCCAAGAATGTAAAGTTCACTGCCAATAATTGAAAAGGGAAAAGCTGCAGTTTCGAACAACATTGCAAAGGCCAAAATCCATTACAATACAAGACAATTAATCAGATCATAAATCACTTCAATTCACAATCTATAGATGCACTCGTATACCGACAAATCAACATGAGCCAGAATGTCCAATATCTATTAAATTGGATATGGCCGGGTTCCTAATTGGTAAAATTTAAAGAACAATAAGTTCAAGAGAACAGAGAAGAAATAAAATTAATTAGACAAACATAAGTTCTTCAAGCATCTTATAATGACCCTGCAACAGACTCAGGTTTCTTCCACAGTTTGTTCTTTACTAGCTTAAATTATTAGCTTCTGATTATAATGGAATTGAGGCAGAACTTATAAGAGCTGAGCCAAGCACATCATCGCAAAGGCTGGCACCATCATAGGGCTTCTTGTTCTCAGCTATTGGACTGCTCCCTGAACTGCTATTTGAAAGTGAAACAAAAGGTGCCTTCTGCAGGACACCTGTTGGCGAAGATCTCAACTGTGGGCTACCACCCCAGCCATCAGATAAGAGGCCAAGTGGTGATGTGTTCTTGCAGCCACGCACATTGCTGGTGATGTTGGTTAGGACCTCTCCTAAAGGACCTCCCATTGAACTTCCCCACGATATCGGAATCCAGTTAGCTTGCTTTTGGTGCTGGTCATTAACGTCACCGTTCACTCCCAAGTTCATTTGGATTGGACCAAGCTCCCGAGATAACCTAAGAGGTGAAAACGCAAGTTTCTCTTGTGCCGGTGAGGATGAGGATGACGAGAACTCTGAAGATCCCATAGGAATAGACATCGAGAGTTGGGTCCAGTCTGATTTTAACTCCTCTGGCCAAGTAATGACAGAACGACAAGATTGATCCTTAGGCCAGCCATCTATAAATTGGCGAAGTGGATTTTGGTCTTGCGTTCCTTGATCAGTGAAGTCTAAGAACGGACCATACTCTTTATAATTCATGAAAGAGCTTCTATGCAATGGATTAAATAGAGAATCAGAGGCAACAGGTCCACAATCTGATTGAGAGGACTCTACAAATGGAATACCTTGTTTTGTAATGGTAAACTTAGAGTCACTCGATTTCAGGTTGGTGGCTGAAGACATCATGGACAGCCCCTGAGGTTCTTGTATTCTGCCACGAACACCCTCTTTTTTTAGAAACAACCTAAGGAAATAGTAGAAATATTGGAAAAGGAACCACAATAAACATGACTACAGATTCAAAGAGTATCCATGGAAAATGAAAAAAAATGTGGAACTCCAAGCCTCTAATTAATTTTGATTTAATCTACAATATATCCAATTAACCAAATTACCTAGCAACAGAGTGCTAATGAAATAATGAAATGCTCCAAGAAAGAGAATCCTAAGTCCCAACTACAATGTGTTGTCACTGTCACCAAAGTAAAGATGAAATAATGGGGTCTACTTAAAGTAAAGAGAAAGGAACGAAAGTATATGTATACAAACTGTTCAAAGCAATATCATCCTAAATACTACTAATAAGACTGTAAACAAATAAAGCAATCTGAAATGCATAAAGTATATTTTTACCTGTTAACAAGGGCATCTGCAGAAGGGTCAGCAGCACCAGATTGCAAGTTCTTAAACTGGTACTGCGGTGCAATTGTGAGGTTGTTGGATGCACCACCACTGCTTATCTTCTGCACTACCTTTGAATTAGTGGTCCCAGAGGCGGCATGGCCAGTTTGACCTTCCACAGGCTTTCTTGAACGATGGCGGCCCCTGTTTATGTGCCTTTCACAATACTTTTGGTCAGCAACAGCATCCCGGGAGCAGCGCCATTTCTTTCCATCTGTTCGACGACACCTCCCTGGCTCAGGATCAGTGGTGCCCGAGTACCCTAGATGGAAAGAGCCCCATCCCACTACATATATATTTAAAACAGGAAAAAAAATACCCAATGATCAATAATAAAGACAAGCAAGCAAAAAATAAAGAAGGAAAAGGAAGGATTTAACATCGAACCAAGTGTTACTTTTTAGCTAAAATTTTTTTTTAATTTGTGATATCCTGGTTTTGGTGAAAACTTTCTACCAAAGATAAACAGAAAATTTTGATATACTGTACAAACAATAAGACATGACTGCAAAATCCAAAATTCCCTGTTTCCAGCAGCAAAGTAACACAGAATCTAGCATCTATATTTGGAATTCTAAAAATTTACTCTACCATCTAACACACACCACCTGCCAGCATCAAATGAACAAAAGTTCATTTTCAACACATTTATGCACCAAACAATAACACCAGCAGCCACCTCCAAAAATTGAAAAAATGCCCAAATAGAAAACTAAAAACATACTAATAACAAAGTAGGGATCTAAGTCAATCATATCTTACGGGAGATTTATTATTTTCAAGTATCTATTTCAAAAGAAAGAGAAGACACTTACATGAATTGGGAGGCAAAGATCCAGCGGATGAGCTGGACAAGCCATAAGGGTAGAGGGACTTCTTGAGAGGGATGAGCAAATTTGACGGTACAGGCACCTTAAAAGTGATGTACTTGTAGATTAATGACTGGTGTTCTAGCTCAATCCACTGAGATGGAGTAAAAGGTCCTCTAACCGCAGTAAGAGGTCCATGAATGTTTGCATTGAACCCTCCAGAACCATAACCTGAAACAAGACATCGAAGGGTTAACTTGCCTGGAACATTAATTGAAGCCACATATGCCATGAACTTTTTTCCCAACTATTTTCCACAGTAAAAGTAAAGAACAACAACAAAAGACAAGAAAAAAGTCTTATACCCGTAGACTACTGATTCCTTCCAACCCTTTTATGACCCTTTCCCCCTTCTTTCTCCAATAGCAAGAAATATTGGGATTGTTTTCCCCAAAATCAATGGTAACAATACCAAGTTTGAAAGAGGAAAAAACACCCTTTTTTTATTCCTACTTGACAAGACTCGAAAACTTCAAATTTCTTGTAAATGCCCATGAAAAGATCCTCACCTTTATATAGAAATAAATCTATTTGACAATTCAAGCAACCCCATTTTCCGCACAAAGAATGTGCCTAAATCTCATACCTTAAGTCACATTTCCCAAAACCCCATCTTAGTAAAATGAGAAACCAAAACAAAACGCAAAAGTACCAATTTTTGACCCAAAAATAAAAGCGTCTCAAAACACAATACACAAAAAGAAAATTTTACCTGCATTTCTAGTATACATAGAGGATGTATGCTGATGGTAAGAAAAGCTATTGTTTTGTGTAATTCTCTCCAAAAAGCCACCATCTTTGCTGATAGAAGGAACTTCAGATTTGAGTGAAGAGAAGCTTAGTATATACTCCTGTTGACGAGTGTCAGCCGAGACCAAAGAATTAGATCTCAACAAGGGAGTGCCTTGTTGCAATGGCATTGTGTTTGGGGTTAACAAATCATCAGTTCTTGGTAACTTAGAACCTTTCCAGTGATCTTCAGCTGAGTCAAAAGATCTTTCTTGCATGGTAAACCCAGATCCAACAAGCTTAGGCTTGGTCTCAGCTGAGAGGAGAGGAGTTGAAGGAGGTTGAGTTTGAGATAGAGCTCCATTATTAGGGCCCACAATACCCTCCAAACCCAGTACCTCAAAATTCATATTGGAGACAAAACCAATCCAAACTGCCTCTAAAAAGCATGAGTTGATGACAATGAAGAGTTCAAAGTTGAAGCTTTGAATAGCAAGTGTTTGAAGAAAGAGAAAGAGAGGCGCATCTTAAAGGATGTTTTTTATGTATGCGTGTGGGTTATGTTTCATTGTTCAGAGCTGATTTTTAGTCATCTTTGTGACGGAAAAACAAGAAATAATCGGAGAGAGAAAGAGAGAAAGAGTTGAAACTGAGAGGGAGGCTACTGTACCAAGCATCAAACACTCTCCAAATCCCAGACATGTTAGCACATATTTATCTATGTTTTTTTCTAGTAAAATTCTCCTTGTTCTAGGGGGAGGATACTTTAGATTTTTCTATTTATTTATTATTATTGTTTTTTTTTTTTGGATCTTCTGATGTTGATTCTTACTAGGATGACAAAAATGGAGGTAAAATGACCAGCTAATTTACTTTGTGTTGCTTATCAAATTTTAAGAAATTTATTAATTGATTTATGTATTTATTTTAAAAGACGATATTTAATAAAATTTAAATTCTAACATTAATATTTTTTTTATTTCAAACAGTAATTTTTTTATAAAAAAAATCATTTCTCAATGACAAAGTAATGAAATCTAAACGTAATTTAGTGTATGTTCACTATTAAATCATATTAATCTCATCTATCCAAACTTTGAAATAAAAAGTATTAATCAAAATATATTTCTTTCGAGACATGATTACATGTTTTAATATTATTATCTTTTTTGTCCCTAAGCTTTTGATTTAATGATTAAAAACGTTTTAAAAAAATATTAAAAATTTAATTTCAAACCAAATTTCTCCCTTTCTCTTTATTTATATTAAGATTTTACCCTTCAAACCAAAAAAATATATATTATTACCCTTTATTGTAAATGGCAAGATATTCTATATTTTCTCTTCTTTCCTTTTAAATTTATTTATATTCATGTGTATGCTAAATTAGCCCAAAAAAAAAAAAATACTAATATTAGGATTCTTCAAGCATAAAATACTAAAATATTTCTTAAACTATTCTATTTCTTAAAATAAATTTTTGTATCTTTATTATATCCAAATAAATTTTTATACTTTAACTTTTATACGAATAAACTCTTATTTCAATAAAAATAATTTATGTTAACAACTTATTAAAATATAAATAAAAAAATTAAAGATTTAACTGGATACTAATTAAAAATTAAAATTTTATTTAAATATAAATTAAATATTAAAGACTTACTTAAATGCAATAAAATTATAAAATTTTATTTAAATTCAACAACAACAACAACACATTAAATTTTATATAAGATATTTTAGATTCGATTGTATGAAAAATTAAATAAAATAATTAACTTAAATTGTAATTTAAATTTTTTGTGCTATTCAATTTTATCAATAATTATTTTTTATCTAATTTCTTAATCATTATATTATTTTTATTACTTATATTTTTTTTTCATGATTTACCTTTAAATATTTTAATTTTCTCTAAATCTAAAAATTTAATTCTCTTAACCGATATATAATTAAACAAAAACATTAGCTATGAAGGTTAAATATAATTATAAAATTCAATATGTTTTATTATTTTAATTATTGTCAATTATATACTAAATGATTTATCTAGGAATTTATTGATGCTTTAATTTTTTAATGGAAATTATAGCAAAAAAGACAACCATGGTTTTGTTTGAGTACTTTTCCTTTTTTATAACAGAAAGAGAATTTTGTTTAGTACTTAAAAGAATTAATATGTTAGTCGAATTGAAAGTTTCAAACATCTTTTTAAATGGACTTAAATTTTAGTTGGATGGCAGGAACGGGTTGGGTTGGAAGTTGCGACTTTTGAAATGGGTTGTAAAAGGGCATTAATGTCAGTTCAAGATTATACATTTTTTTATTTAAAATTTTTTTGATATTCAATAATTATTTTAAATCTTGATTAATCAAAAATCAAATTGAATGGAATTCTATTTAAAAAATTAAATTTTATTTATAAAATTTAAAATTAAAATTTTACTTTAAAAAATTCGAATTCTATTATATTTGCTTGTTATATAATTTCTTTGGGGGACTTTTCTTTTAATAGGTATCTTGTCCTTTAGTGGAAGGGCAGGTGTCCCTTTGATTTAAAATCTGGGGTTTACCAGAGTCCAGTGGCGTGTGGTTGCATGAACAAAGAGGTACTTGCCACGTAACCCCATCCCGAAGATGCCCTTTCCTCCTTACCCTCCTACACATGTCAATTTGTGTATTTTAAAAGTATCATTAATTTATATATTTATATTATATTTTATATAAAAATAATGTATTATAAATTACATCTACATAAAAATATAAAATATATATTTTTATTTTATTAAATTTAAATATAATGTTTATTAAAATTTAAAATTTTATTATTATATTATATTACTATATCATATATTAAATTATTAAATCTAATTATTTTCCCTTCTTCCTTAACCCCAAATCTCTTCGATGAAATGGATTTGCATTTTCAAGCCTCAAGCCCCATAAACTTTACTACTTCCTACCTAAACTTAATAGGATAACTTTTGAGATTGTTCTTTGGTTCTTGCATGTCCCAACTTTATAAAGATTTTTCTGGGTATGAAATGGTGTCTTATCAACAATATTAATAAGGATGATATATTTTAGAAAATATTAAGTAAAAAATTAATATAATATTACTACTTGTTTTTTTTCTAAACTGATTTGCTATTGTCTAATTACTTTTACCCCACTTTCTTTATTTCTTTTTTTTTTTTTGGTTTTGTTTTTCAGTTTCATTGATTTTTTGTCTTTTATTTTAAAATTTTAATTGTTTTATTATGATCAAAGATGTTATAATTCTATTTAATTTTAAATTTTTTTAAAAGACATATTTTATTGTATCAATATAATATATATTGTACCTATCATTTGCCCATAATAGAATATCAGAGATCTGAGATTGAAGTGGACAATCAAGTTTCAAATGCAATTGAATTTCTCTAGCTGTTTTTTTTTTTTTTTTGAAAAAAAAGTTTCTAATTGCAAAAAAAAAAAAAAAAAAAAGTGGTGAGCATGCAAAATATACTGGTATTTTCAGAAACGTACACTTCGTTGTTACTTTAATATTATTATCAAATAAAATAAATTTTCACTTCCCAACTTGACCTGCTTACTATTCATTCCACCGTACTTTCAAGTATAGCTTTTTAAAGGAACAGAACTTTATTCTTTTTAACTAATATCAATCACTATAATCGAAACTTCAACAACAAATTGTGGTCCAGCTGACATGAAGAACCGGAACAGATTTTTTTTTAATTAAAAAATAATTTTATTGAGAAATAAATAACAAGCTATAATCACATTACAAAGTCAGAGTTTCTATAAACACCCAGTATCAGCCAAGGAGTTTGCAAATTAATTGGTCTCTCTTATATAAAATATTAAAATTTATATATTTATATCATATTTTATATAAAAATAATATATTATAACTTAAGTTAAAATAAAAATATGAAATATATTTTTTATTTTATTAAACATATATATAATTTTTATTAAAATTTTAAATTATGTTATTTTCATATTTTTTATTTTTATCATATTCATATGTATTATTGTATTATATTTTAAATTATCGAATTTAAAAAAAATGTATCAAAAAACTTTCCTAACACTCTTAAAAAGATTAGTTCAAACCCTCATGAACTTGCCAAAGGTAAAGTTAAGTTTCTATTATGGTTCTTTTTTATTTGTACAAGTTTGTTTATCATCCATTTCTTGGAATAAGTTTGTATGTTTATCTTTACAAAAAAAAAAATTATTATTTGATTTCGACTACATGTGGGCATTTTTTTTTTTCATAATAAGGTCAGAATTTTTTTAATAAATAAATTGAAATATCAACAATTATATAATCTATTAATAAAATATAATTTTAACAATTAAAATTCAATTCATATAAACAATTATTGGTAAGTGACATTGACAGATAATTTCAATTTTAATTTCAAATAAATCTTTCTTATATGTATGATTTTAAGTTATATAATAAAAAATTCAATCTTTTTCATTTTTTTATTTGAATATAAAATTCTCAAATTGAAATCTTGTCTGACCATTAACATGTTAGATAGTATTTTTAGTAACATGGTCAAGAGTGATTTTAGATTTCATGGGAACTTAATTCTCTTTCTCAAATGATTTAAAAATATTTTTTTCATATTAATTGTATGTAATCAAAAAAATTTTATAAAATATTTCCCACAAAAATTAAATATTACCTAAAAAATCTTCTTGGGCTCCAAATTTGATAACTTGTTGCTTATAAGCGTATAATGTTGCTTTTAAATTGAGAATGGAATTCACATGATCCCCCTTCATATAAATCTCTTTTGCAAGGACTAATGGTTGGTTCAACTCTTCATTCATAGTATAAGTATATTAAATAAAATTGTGAAATTTTTCGAATTAAAATAAATTAAATATTTATGGTGTGTTTGAATATTTGTGTAAAGGATATATATATATGTATATATATAAGAAAAATAAATTTTCACATTTAAAATTTTTAGATGAAAATTTCATTTTTTTTTCTAAAATTAATATGAAAGAACGACAAAAAAGAAGGAATCAAAGCAATGAAAATTATATTTCATGAAGGTAATAATTTGATGTATATATATCATATAAAGTTCATCATAAAGGCATCACGTGACCCAGAATTAAATGAAATCGAAACGAGTTTCTCGTGAAAGGCCTATGATTTTGTTGAAATTTTTTAATTTCTTTTTTTCTTTTAGTGCTTAAGCATTGGTTGTTTGTGAGTTAGGGAGCAATGACCCAAAAAAAAGAAAAAAAGAAACATAAAAAGTCAGAAATGGACATAGGAATGGAAGGGCAAAAGTTCGATAAAGACGGAGAGCAACGGAGATGAATGGGTGGACATGAAGGATGGATAGGTATGTTTATCAGAGAAAGGATTCTATAAAATAATTCATCTCCCTATTATCACTTCTATTTAAATTATATTATTATAAAAAAATTATGCGGGATAATTAAATAAATATGATTTAAATAAAAAAATATTAATATGCCATAACTCATTCGTACAATCTTTTCCAGTGTAGAAAAGGTTTTGATTATGGGGCTGCATTAGAGGACCCAGGTCCTTTTACT